TACATAAACAAAACTAAAATACTCCTGTATTCCATACCCATATTTTAGCTGCCTCCCTATATTTCAATCCATTATCATAGCTAACTCTGTATACTCTTTCATCTTCTTTTAATACTTCCTGGATCATTCTGCCCATAGCACCCTTAAGTATAGCAACTCAAGGTTTTGATTTGTTCTTCAGTTCCTTGAGCTTAATAAATGCTAAGTTCGCCCGTTTTGATTTTCTGACCCCAGCTCCTTGCACATTTCATTGTAATATTTTCCTTTGTCTTCCAGCGCTGCCTTTTGAAATCTTCTGTTCAGCTCTTTAATATCTTGAATTCTTCCCTCTGCTTTGGCTTCTCAGCACTCTAATGCAATGTTCAGAGTCTCTTCTGACATCCATTTTGATTTTTTCTTCCTCCTCTGTCTTTGTAATGATCTTTTGCACTCTTCCTGGATGATACTCTTTATATCCTCCCACAGCTTATCTGGTCTTCGCTCATTGGTGTTCAGGGCCTCAAACCTATAGCTGAGATGGTTTTGAAATTCAGGTGGGATAGACTCAAGGTCATATTTTGGTTCCCATGAATTTGGTCTAATTTTCCTTAGCTTCAGCTTGAACTTGCATATGAGTAATTGGTGTTCTACTCCTCAGTCAGCACCTGTCCTAGTTTTCACAGCTGATATCAAGCTTCTCCAGTGGTTCTTTCCACAGGTGTAATCAGTCTGATTCCTATGCATACCATCAGGTGAAATCCATGTGTATAACCTGTTTTTATGTTTTTTATAAAACATATTTGCAATGAATAAGTTGTTGATTGTGCAAAATTTAATCATTCTATCTCCAGCTTCATTTCTATCACAGAGTGCATGTTTTTCAACTACTGATCCTTCTTCTCTGTTCCCAACTTTTGCATTCCAGTCACCCGTTATTATTATTATTGCATTTTAATTGTATGATTGAGTGATCTCTGACTGTAAAAGTTGATAGAAATCTTCTATTTCTTCTTTGTCTCTGGTTGTTGATGCATATATCTGAATGTTAGTGGTGTTCACTGGATCCTGTCACTCACAATATTGTATTTCAAGACATATGTAGAAATGACTTTTTTTAACTATGAAAGCAACCCCATTTTTCTTCACCTTTTCATCTCCGAAGTAATAGATCATATGATCATCCTACTCAAAATGCCCCATGCCATTTGGACAAGAACAAACTGGGAGGAGGATAGAGAGAATAGTGCAACAATGAATGAATGGAAACCCAAAATCTCTGTAAATGTTTATGAAAATTAATAAAATATAGGGAAAAAAATGCCCCATGCCAGTCCATCTCATCTCATCAGTACCTAGTGTGTCCCATTTCTTCCTTAAAAACATCTAATTTTCCCACATTCATGGTTCTCACATTCAATGTTACAATTACTAGTGTCTGCTTACAACTGTTCCTCTTCCTTTGTATTTCCATATTTGAAAGCTCTACCTCATTTGCCCTGTTAGTCTACACATGTTCTATTGTACATAGAGGTTTCGGAAGCCTGCTATTTTGGAATTAGACAGCCAATCCTTCTTCCTAGTCTGTCTTAATCTGAATGCTCAGATTTAGAAAAGTAACAGATACTTTTTAAATTGCACCAAAAGGAATTGGCAGACACAGAGGAATTTCATGAAACAAAATATGAGCAAGAGCCTATGATGATGAAGGAAGAAGTTCAAGCTGCTTTGAAGGAATTGGCAAAAAATAAGGCCCCAGAATTTTACCCGTTGACATATTCAGCTAACAGATGCTGCCCTAAATGTGCTCACCAAGTTGTGTCAAGAAATCTGGAGGACAACCACTTGGCCAACTGACTGGAAGAGATTTGTTCCCATTCCAAAGAAAGGTGACCCAACAGAGTGTGGAAATTATCGAACAATATCATTGATATCACATGCAAGCAAGATTCTGCTCAAGCTTATCCAAAAACAACTGGAACAGCACATCAACAGAACTGCCAGAAGTGCAGGATAGCTTTAGAAGGGGTTCTGATACCAGGGATATTGCAACAAATGTTAGATTGATCTTGGCTGAAAGCAGAAAGTACCAGAGGAATGTCTGATTATGCAAAGACGTTTGACTGTGTGGATCACAACAAACTTTGGCTGACTCTCAGAAGAATGGGAATGCCAGAACACTTGATTGTGCTAATGCGAAATCTATATTTGGACCAGGAAACAGTAGTCAGAACAGAGCAAGGGAACACTGCAGGATTCAAAATTGGGAAAGCTGTATGCCAGAGATGTGTCCTATCTCCATACCTTTTCAATCTATAGGCAGAACAGATTATCTAGGAGGCTAGGCTGTATGAGAAGAAGTGTGACATCAGGACCGGAGGAAGATTCATCAGTAGTCTGCATTATACAGATGACACAACCCTGCTTGCTGAAACTGAGGAGGACTTAAAGCGCTTGCTGCAGAAAGGTCGAGGACTGCAGCCTTCAATATGGATTGAGGCTCAATATCAAGAAAACAAAGATTCTCACCACTCGGTCAATTGGCAGCATCAGGATGGATAGTGAAGAGATTGAGATTTGTTAACAGCTTTAGTTTGCTTGACTACACAGTCAACACTCTTGGCACCAGCAGCCAGGAAATTAAAAGACGTATTGCGATGGGAAAGTCTACTGTTAGGGACCTCTCCAAAGTACTGAAGAGCAATGGTGTCACTCTGGAAACTAGTGTGCCTGATACAGCCCATGGTCTTTGCAATCACTTGCTATGCTGGATTGTCAGGGAGCTGGACAATGAGTAGGGATGACAGGAGGAGAATTGATGTCTTCGATCTGTGGTGTTGGAGAAGAGTATTGAATATACCATGGACTGCTATGAAAACGAACAGGTTTATCCTAGAAAGGGTTAAACCAGTTTGGTCCTTGGAGGCAAGGATTCTGAAGCTTCATCTGACATACTTTGGACATGTTGCAAGGAAGGACCTGTTCTTGGAGGACACCATGTTTGGGAGTGTGGAGGGACAGCACAGGAGAGGAAGACCCTCTATGAGGTGGATTGATTCAGTGACTGGGGTAATGAGGTTAGGTGTGTCAGAGACAGTGATAGCTGTTGTACATAGGGTCGCTATGAGTCGCAGGCGACTCAATGGCTCTTAACAACAACAATCATAGCTGAACCTCCCAATGGAATTGCCTCGATTCCATTTAACTGGAGTCCCTCCTCAGCACACCACACTCTGGCTCCCTGCCATCTTCACACCACTATCAGGTCACCAGTGACCTCCAAGGACACAAAGCCAAGAGCCCTGTACAACCCTGGTCTTGACTGACCACCCAGTCCCATCCGCAAACCCTCCCTTTCCCTTTCCAGCACTTAAATCACTGCTCACTCTTCATTTTCCTTTCTTCCTCCCTGGATGCTGTTGTTTAGAAGGCTCCACAGGACCCCAAGTCCCTTTCCAGGCCCTCTCCCCACACAAGTTCTTCTGTCCTCTTGTGCCTGCATGCCTTTTCCCCTTCTACTCTGAACTCCATACCCACAGCCTCCAGCGCCCTACTGGTCATCAACCAGGGAATTTGCAGGCATTTCAAACTGCAGTTCCTAGCCTGCTTTCCCACTTCCTCCTTCCCTGCCACCTAGTTGCTCAGGCTGGAATCTGATGTTTGGGTTTCCTCACCCCACACTTGTAATTCCATTGGTAAAGCCAGTGACCTTCAACCCAAATCTCAACCTCACTACCTTCTCTCCACCTTCACTCATTCTAGTTTTGTTATTTCCCTCCTACACAAATGACAATAGCCTTCTAACCTCCCATCCTTGCCCCTTCATCTGTTCTCCTTACAACAGCAAGCAAAACTTTAAAACCTCATAAAGCATACAGTTGTGTCATTTCTTCTCTTAGCAATATTGCTTTATGCTATTCTTAGTATAAAATCTCAAATCTATTCCAAGGTCTACAGGGCCCACCAGTACCTCCCTCATTTTCTATTCTCTGTTCATTCTGGGTTTTGATTCACTCAGTTCTTTCGAGCCTCAGGGCCTATGCTGCTGTCCCCTCTGCCTGAACATCTTTTGCCCAGCTCTATATATTTCCTTGTGGAGCAGCTAGTGGATTCAAACCATTGCCTTTGGTTTGGCAGTACAGCTTCTTATCTACTAGGCTACCAGAACTCCCTATAGTTTTATGTTTTGTTTTGAGCTTGTGCTTTCAAATAGTTCCTCTGGGTCTACATTAAGTATTCCAATTCTGGAAGCAGTCTGTCTAAATTGAGTCCCTGCTCTTTGACCTAACCGTTGTTTGGCCACAGATAAACTACTCAACCTCTTCTTTTGCTTCTATTTTATTAGTAGTTACAGTGAAGATAATAATTGTTGTTGTTGTTTTTATGCGCTGTCGAGTCGTTTTCAACTCATAGCAGCCCTATTCACAACAGCCCTAAACCCTGCTCTATCCTGCACCAACCGCACTGCCTCTGACACACCCATCCCGATTATCCCAGTCACCGAATCAATCCATCTCATAGAGGGTCTTCCCCTCCTGCGCTGTCCCTCCACCCTCCCAAGCATGATGTCCCTCTCCAAGGACCCGTCCTTCCTGGCAACGTGTCCAAAGTATGTCAGACGAAGCCCCAGAATCCTTGCCTCCAAGGAGTAGCTTGGTTTAATCCTCTCCAAGATGAATCTGTTTGTTTTCCTGGCAGTGCATGGTACATTCAGTACTCTTCTCCAGCACCACAGCTCAAAAGCATCCACTCTCCTTCTGTCCTCTCTAGTCATTGTCCAACTCTCTGATGCATAACAAGCGATTGCAAATATCATGGCCTGTATCAGGCGCACCTTAGTCTCCAGAGAAACACCGTTGTTCCTGAGTACTTTAGAGAGGTCCCTAACAACAGACTTTCCCATCGCGATACGCTTTTTTATTTCCTGACTGCGGGTGCCAAGAGTGTTGACTGTGGAGCAGAGCAAACTGAAGCTGTGAACAATCTCTTCGCCATCCATCCTGACACTGCCAATTGGTCCAGTGGTGAGAATCTTTGTCTTCTTGATATTGAGCCTTAGTCCATACTGAAGGCTGTAGTCCTTGACCCTTCACAACAAGTGCATGAGGTCCTCCTCAGTTTCAGCAAGCAGGGTTGTGTCATCTGCATAACGCAGATTGTTAATAGGTCTTCCACCAATCCTGATGCCGCAATTCTCCTCACAGAGCCCAGCCTCTCGGATAATCTGCTCTGCATACATGTTGAAAAGGTATGGAGACAGGATGCATCCCTGGCGTACACCCTTCCCAATTTTGAACCATGCAGTGTTACCCTGCTCTGTTCTGACTACTGCTTCTTGATCCAAGTACAGGTTTCGCATTAGCACAATTAAATGTTCTGGGATTCCCATTCTTCTCAGAGTCAGCCACAGTTTGTTATGATCCACACAGTCAAGTGCCTTTGCATAATCAATGAAACACAGATAGACATTCTTCTGTATTCTCTGCTTTCAGCCAAGATCCATCTAACATCAGCAACAATATCCCTAGTACCACGACCCCTTCTAAACCCAGCCTGGACTTCCGGAAGTTCTCTGCTGATGTGCTCTTCTAATCATTTTTGGATAATCTTCAGTAGAATCTTGCTTGTATGTGAAATCAATGACACTGTTCTGTTGTTTCCACACTCAGTTGGGTTACCTTTCTTTGGAATGGGAACAAATATAGATCTCTTCCAGTCAGTTGGCCAAGTGGTTGTTCTCCAGATTTCTTGGCACAACTTGGTGAGCACATCCAGGGCAACATCTGTTATCTGAAATACTTCAATTGGTATACCATCTATTCCTGGAGCCTTATTTTTTGCTCTTTTCTTCAAAGCAGCTTGAACTTCTTCCTTCATCACCATAGGCTCTTGCGCATATGTTATTTCTTTAAATTCTTCTGTATCTGCCAATTCCTTTCTATATAATGACTCAGTATATTCCTTCCATCTTCTTTTAATACTTCCTGAATCATTTAATATTCTGCCCAAAGCATCCTTGATTACAGCAATTCTAGGTTTGAATTTGTTCTTCAGTTCCTTGAGCTTAAAAAATGCTGAAGAAGAAGATAATAATACCTATCAAAAATGCATATTATTAATGCATAAAAGTTTTTAACATGTTGTAGATGCTAAATATCTATTAGCTATTACATTATTATTATTATTATTATTATTCATTTTTTTAATCTTTTGGTTTCTCTTACTGGAATAAAGAAATGTTCTAAATACAGAGACCATGGTCTATTCACCAATTTATTGGTTCACCAATAAATAAATATTTAGTCAACATTTATTGAATGAATGTCCATTTCTCACCTCACAGCAGAAGAAGATCTTCATGATCCAAGGCCGCTACCCAGTGATTCGATACCTTTTACGCCACAGGGGCTGGGTAGAGAAGAAGATGGCGCATCACATAGGTACTGTACTGCCTCTGACCCAGAAGAATCTGGATAGCTCAGTGATATGTGATAACCGCACCACTGAGGATGGTGAGCAAGTAGCTCCCTCCTATTCCCTAGCTGGTCTACCTTTTCTGTGGGACAAGGACTGCATCCTTATCAGGCCTGTGGTTTTTTATCCACAGAGGATGAAAATGAGGATGAAGAGTTCTACCCACCACAGTTCTTTGACTTTGCTAGTTTACTGGAATTTGATGACACAGATGGGACCCAGGCTCTGATGGTAAGGGGCATGGTGACTTCCATGAAGCAGTGGTGACAGGAGGCTTCCTGGTAAGAGGGAGAGTGCTGGTGTCTAGCTGGGTAGTCCTTTTCTTTCTCTGGGCCTCAGTGTTCCTATCCATAGTAAAAACTTTCCCAAGGGCGAAGTAACCCAGCAGAGTTAGAGAGACCTAGCAAGGACCCAAACAAGGCTGGCCTGGAATTTGAAAATGTGCTAAGTTGTATTGGAAGCCAACATGGGCTTCAGGACTCAAAATAGTGACCTCCTGATGGATCACTTCCTCTCTTTCCTGGCAAGTGAGGGCTGAAAATAAGGGCTGGGCCAGTGTGGCTTTCTCCAGCAGCACCTGTCTCCACCCCTGCCCTCCAGTCCCACATGGTTCGGAATGAGACCCCCTACTTCATCTGGACCACTCGGCGCAATGTCCTGGACTGTCACCTCCTCTCTAAGGATCAAATGATAAACCACTATGCTCGGGCTGGCTCCTTCACAACCAAGGTGGGTTCTTCGCAGGGGAGGGATCATAACAGGCAGCCTCCGGCTCCCATCCTCTTGGGCCAGCACCCCTGCCCCTTTGTAAGGAAGTTCTTAGGAAAAGGTATGGTATGTCATTGAGCAGGATTTGGAATCAGGCTGGGTTCACATCCAACACCAGCAGCCACAGTGCCCAGTCCATGTAGACTCTAGATATGTAAAATGAATAAAATAAACTCTAGAGCTCAAACAGGATTTGGAGTGAGAACCAGCAGTGAAAATAAGGATTGTTGGCACAGGAGCCCATGTCCTTCAGCAGGAGGTGAATTGAATCTGGTAATGGATTGTCTTACCTGAGTTTGTTAGTGATTTCATCTCTCTGTGCCTGTTTTCTCCTCTTTAAGTGAGGATAACAGTAAGACCTACTTTCTAGGGTTGTGACAGAGTTGAAGGGCTTTCTGCTAGGATTTTGTTGGTGTGAGTGGCAAGGATGCCTGGAGGCGGTAGATCTTTACAAATGTAGAAGCGTGGGCAGGAGGAAGGTGGGACCACTTTTGACAAATACATGAAGATGGAAGTGAGCAAAGTTGGCCCAACAAGTGGGGAAAGGCTCTGTGATATGCAAGCAGACTCTCCCAGCACAGACCCATGGATGCTAAGTGTGGAGGGCCCTTGGAAGGCTCTCTGGGCAAGTCCTGCCTTGCCCCCTCAGCAGCTAACTCTGTAGGTGGGCCTGTGTCTCAATCTCCGGAATTTGCCCTGGTTTGATGAGGCCGATGCTGACTCCTTCTTCCCACGCTGCTACCACCTGGGAGCGGAGGATGACAAGCAAGCCTTCATAGGTAAGAAAACCTCCAGTCCCATACCTGCACCCCTTGGGCTGCAAAATCAGCACCCCTAACTCAGATTGGAGAACAGGCCTCTCTCATGTTGGTTGAGTTTGGAATCTAGAGTATGTTCCAGACCTATTGAGATTCTGTTGTTGAGATTAGATACCAAACCTTGAAAAGGCTTCATACTTTGGATTTCTGAGGCGGACTCATTACCAAGTCTAGAATGTGTTCTAAACTAAGGCCCAGCTGAGCTAATAGGTTTAAATTGGACTCTAAATCTTAAATATGTCTTAGATCAAAGTCTTTCTCAAGGCATATTATCAAAAGTGGATTAGAACAGGTGAGAGAAATCAGACACTGGGTTCTGGCCACTTTCTGAAGGCAGAACATAAGCCCAGCCCCGGGTCACATTCTAGAGCTAGTTCTACAGCAGAACTTGAAACCAGATTCTAATCCAAGTTACAGAGTTAGAAAAGGTGGAGTCAGTTTCTGGATCCAAATGGGCAGGTTCTAGAACCAGAACAGCCCTGAATCTAGACATTTTTCTTCCCTGGGAACAGAGGACTTTTGGCTGACAGCTGCCCGCAACGTTCTCAAACTGGTGGTGAAGTCCAAGTGGAAACCATACTCTATGCAGGAAGAAGAGGAAGAGGCCTTAGGTAAATGCTGTGGATACCTCCACTTCTCTGTTCATTTATGCTTTCACCATCTATTCATTCATCATTTATGCATCCACCTGCCTTCCATCTATGACTATGATCTCAATCCTTCCACCCATCCATCCCCCTCTCATCAACTAACCTACATACCTACCCCCAACCATGTGTTGATCTATTCATTCATCCAGCCTCCCACCGACCCTCTCATCAGCTCCATCTTCCAACATTCACTCACTATCCTCTGACCTATCCTTCCACCTATCCTCTCTGTCAGATCCATCTACCATCACTCTGTCTATATCATCTTCCAGACCACCTCCAATCTGTCCTGCACTCCATCCACATCTCCAACCTCCTATCCTGTCCCATCCCTATCTTCCCATGTTCCTGTGCTGTTAATTGGCCTACTGCCTCCTTCAGCTTTCCCATGGGCCTGGCATGTGAGCACACACTCTGAGAGGACGAACTAAAAAGCCATGGTCCATCCCTCCCCATGCGGAGCTCAGTTCTCTAAGAAGAAAGAAGCGGTAAACCTGGGCATTTTACACATGGCCTGAGGACTTACTGGACCTGAGCATAAGGAACATGTGGAAGTGGTGGGGACAGGGATAGAGAGGAAGCCTCACTATGTTGACCCAACACACTGCTTCCTATTTCTGGATTGATCTTCTCCCTCAAAGCCCTCAGCTCCATAATCCCAGGGTTTCATCATCCAAGGAATGAAAGGATTGTGAGGCAGTCCTGCTGGAAGGAGAGAAGTCCCTGTCTCCTCTGGAGGGAGACCTCCCCTATGGTGTTTCCTGGGGGTGTGTGCCAGGGACAAGGAAGACAGCTGCATACCAGGACCAAGGGCTCTAGGGCCTAGGGTATGAGTGCTTGAATTCCCTTGATGCCAGGCCCAGGTGCAGGTCAGCGCCTGCTGTCCATCAGGATTTAAGGAGTGAGGTGGATATTCAGGGAGCACCAGCCCCCAGCCTCTCAGTCGTGTTTCCCATGTGAGGTGTCATTTCTGGTGTGTCACATTCATGTGTGTGTCAATGCTTGTGCAGTGTATCACATTGATGTCCTTGGGGTGGGAGCATTTCAAGTAAAGCTTATCACTTTCAGTGGCTTAAGGGTTATAGTGTGTATCGGACTTCTGACATGGCTCCATATTTCTAGTCAAGGGTGGAGAAAAATTTAAGAAGTCATGTCAGATTTGGGGGAGGGGTTCAAAGGCCTTGGGGACATTTAATATAAAGCCACAACTAGTGACATTTTGTGTCTTGAAATAGAGCCACAGGTGAGCACTAGAATTTAAGGTGAGTGACAGGCCCCAGGTAGTGTACAGGTGTATTTAGGACAAAACATCATATAAGAGTACTGGGACAGTAGGCATGAATGTGCTCGCCTTTAGGTGTATTTAGGGTGAGAGTTTAGATAATGGGCATGTGTAAGGTCTTCTCCTTTGTGTGTAGGATAGTGACTTGCTTGTCCCTATCTTTCCAGGGGACAAGCAGCTTAAGAAACGGGAGAAAAAACCGGTGATCGTGTCTGCAGAGTTTGTGGATGAGGCTTTGCGTGCATGTGAGGAGCACCTCGGCAGCCTGGCTCACTCGGACATTGACAAAGAGCTGGAGGCCCCACAATACCTCAGTCCTAAGGACTGGTCCCTTTTCCTCCAACAGTACTACCGAGTGGTCCAGTGAGTACACCTTCACCAGGGGCGTGGGGCAAAGAAGGGTGCTCCATCTCCTTGGGCACTGACCCCATCTCTGTCTAGTGCACCCTTTTCCCTAAGCCTCCCCTTTTGCTCACCTCTCGTGCTCACAAGACTTCAAGGTTTCCCATTGCCTTTATGATTGTGTTCACACCACTCTTACTGTTCTTAGCAGAGTATACTCAAGATGATGCTTCCGGTCCCAGCTTTGCAGCTTCCACACTCTGTGACCTTGAAAACAGCACTAATTTTTTTTTTCAGCTTTACTTTTTTTGATAGAAAATAGATTTTAAAGTAAGAGAGCTCTGGTGGCCAACTGGCAAGAAGCTATACTGCAATCCCGAAGGCACATGCTTCAAGGCCACCATCTGCTATGCAGGAGAAGGATGGGCAGTCTCCTCCTGTACGATTAACTGCCTCTGAAAACCCGCTGGAGGGCCAGCTATGGGTTGGTTCTGACTCTACAGTACACAGTAACAACAACCTCAAAGATGAGACTGAACAGGCTAACTTGTGTTATATGCTAAGAGCTCATAGTATTGATTCACAAAATAACAATCCATTATATCATTCAGAGGCATTGTTCTGGAGAACAGTGTTTCTCAAAATGTTTTGCACAGGAAACTATTTACAACCTATAGTTCTATAGGTTATAAATAGATTTGATGGGAAGAGCTTTTATGGTCAATCAAGTGTGAAGATATCGGATTAAACAGGTGTCCTTTGTTGCAGGCCTTCTCAGAACCTTTAATATGTGGGGTGAACCTACAATGTAGGTAGTGTGTGTGGTGTGTCCTGTACTCATGTGGCTCCAGTCCTATTTCCTGAGCACCTAAGAGGTAGTGCTTTCTGCAGGGAGGAGAGTATCAAAGATGAGACTTGCACTGTCTTGAGGAGGTTGACTTCAGTACAGGTGTTCAGGAGGGATTAGAGAGAGGGAGCATATTTAGCAAGGACTTACTGAGCAACCCTCATGTGCCAAGCATTGTGCCAGACTCCAGAAATGAGACGGCATGCCTACCCTCAGGGAAGCACTGCTCAAAATCAGGGATTACATAAAGTATTGCCTTATCTAACAGTTATATTTACTGCTTGTTCTTCATTATCTGTGTAGATAGTTGAGAGTATGCTGTTGTTGGCTATAAAGTAACCTCACACACAATGGAACAAAATACTGCCCAGTCCTGCACCGTCCTGTGACTGGCTGTGTACCTACACTTCACTGGATGCTCTTCAGAAGTAGATATCCAGGCCTTTCTTCTTAGTCTTTAGTGTAAAGTTTTGCTGCCAAGTATTCAGCATCAGAGCATGAGATGGAAAGAGAATGGAGCCTGGGGTTCCCATGTGGACATTTGAACTCTACCCCTGACAAATCTGCCTCAACTAAGAAAGCTGTTAAGTGCTGTCGAACCGAGTAGGGTTCGTAGCAAACTTATGAACAACAGGTCTGAACCCTGTCCTATACTGTGCCATCTTCACAGTCTCTGACACACTAGAGTGCATTGCTGCAGTTACTGTGTCAGCCCACTGGGTTGAGAGTTTTCCTGTCCTTCACCATCCCTCCCCCTTCCCAAGCATGATGTCCCTCCTCAATGAATAGCCTCTTCTAGAAACTAAGAAAGTAGCATTCATTAATTCATTAAATACTTATTGCTGTATTGTTTACTATTTTTAAGATTTAGTAGTTCACAGCTCATTAGCCAGGCTTTTGTCAAACCTGAGTTTCCACAAAAACATTGGGGTTTTTCTTTTTGCTAAATATAAAATCCTATTGTCATTATCAAATGTGGATTTTTTTATAGCACATGACTCACTGCCCCCATGTGACACTTTGCTGAGTGTCATTCTGAGCAGTTACTTCATGCCACAGGCCATGGGCAAATTTTCTGTCAGGATCAGGACTTAGCTGTGAGCATTCCCAGGAGACATTGCTGGGCCCCTCTACTTGGCTTTCCCCCTCTTGCTGGCACTGCTTCAGAGGCTACTGCCAGATCATGGTGATAGCAATAGGAAGGGCCCCATGGATAGAAGTAGTCTGAGAGACTGTGAGCTGAAGAGAGATTAGCATCTTCTTGAGGCTTACTTCTTATTCAGAAAAGAAATGGAAGACTTTGGGGGTTGCAGGTGCCCAAGGTATTTTATGACTTGGTTTGGTTTCAGGACATTTTGTGTCCTGAGAGAACAAGTCTTTGTTTGTCCATGAGCCAGTTGCTGAGGTGACCTCATGCTATTCAGATTATTTAACGAACACTTAAAGAGCATCCAAGAAGTGTTGGGTGCAGTGCTTGGTGATGAGAGTCCAGCCGAGCAGAACAGCAGACACCCCTATTCTTACAGTACTCACCTTTTCATGAGGGGAGAATCAGCATTATGTTCCAGGCAGTGATGCATGACGGGGAGAGAAATAAAACAAAGCAATAGCCTGTAACAGGTCCTCTTAGGATTGGATGAGTAAGAGACCTCCTATGAACTAGTGTAAAATCCAGATTAGGAGGACAGTGGACCCCAAAGGCAACTGTGGGTGGAGAACGTAGGCAGGTGAATCCTGGCCTAGCCACTGAACTCCATGTCTGGCCTTAGTCAAGTACTTTAACTCTTCAAGCTTCACTTTATAATTCTTTAAGATGAAATCTTCTAAATAAAGGCCCCTGGGTGATGTGCTTGGTTATAAGCAAAAGGTAGAAGGCTTGAGTCCACCCAGTCCTCAGAAGAAAGGACTGGAGATCAACTTCAAAAGACTCAGCCACTGACACCCTCCAGGCTCAATGATGCCTGATACAGACCATGGTCTTTGCAATCATTTGCTATGCCTCCTAAAGCTTCGTCTGACATATTTTGGACATGTTGCAGGGAGGGACCAGTCCTTGGAGAGGGATGTTATGCTTGGGAGGGAGGAGATACAGCGCAAGAGAGGAAGACCCTCGATGAGATAGATTGATTCAGTCACTGGAGTAATGGGAGTAGGTGTGTCAAAGACAGTAAGATAATCAGCACAGGATAGAACAGGGCTTAGGGCTGCTGTCCGTAGGGTCACTCTGAGTTGCAGGTGACTAGATGACACATAACAACAACAACCATTGAGATTAGGGAGCTCTTGTGGCCTAGTGGTAAGAAGCTGTGCTGCAACCCCAAAGGCCCATATGGGGTTCAAATCCACTAGTGGCTCTAGGATAGCAATTGCTCCCATGCAACTGCCTCTGAAAACCCTCTGGAAGGGCAGTGTATAGGTCAGTTCTGACTCCACAGTAAACGCCACCACCAGGGAGATTAGTGATATGTAAGGCCTTGGCACAGTGTATAGCCTGGAGTGGTGTAAGCAGAACCCACTGTGGCTACATTCTGCCTAAGGCAGTTGTAACTAGATGGAAAAGAGGAGTGGCAAGAGGTGCAGTGTTGGAGTAGGGACAATAGAGTGAGTGGAACTTTTCCATCCTCTTCCCATCCAAGAGGTTTGGGATGGTGCCCTGAGCAGATCAGGGTTTAGGTCTAGCTTGAGAGCCGGGTCATAGATTTGGGGATAGTTTGTCTGAATCTCTGGAGGGACCAGAGCTGATTAGACCATGGCCAAGGACCTTTTCTCTCCTTGTCCCATCCTCCCACCTGCCCCCAGAGAGAGATTAAAATCACCATCAGACCAAAGCTGCTTCTTCCAAGGTGGACGTGCAACATAGCTCTGCCCTCCACTCCTTTTACTAATGCTGATACCAACTGTCCCTCCTATGTGGTTCTCTTCCTCTCTGCTAATTCATTGCAGAGGTCACAGAACTGACCCTGCTCAAGTGCCCTCATCTCCCCACAGTGAACAGGCAGAACTCAAGCCCCACGACACTCAGGTCCAGCGCTGTGAGGACATCCTGCAGCAGCTGCAAGCTGTGTTACCCCAGATGGACATGGAAGGGGATCACAACATCTGGATTGTGAAGCCAGGAGCCAAGTCCCGAGGACGAGGTGGGGGTCAGCCCCTGCCTCCCGTGCTCACATCCCATAGCCTGCTACCCCCACCAGATGCTATCAAGGTGAATAGTGCAGGATCTGGACACAAGCTGCATGGGTTCATACTCCAGGTTTGCTCTTAATATGCTCTATGACTTTGATCAAGTTATATCACCTCAGTTCCCAGTTCTGTGAAATGGGGTGAGTACCTTTAAGTCAAATAATATGTCTGAAGCTCAGCACAGCACTCAGTAGAGTGAGTACCCACAAACAGTGACTGTGGTAAGACTTGATGCTTGAGTGTGCTAACACGTGAGTGGAGTCTTGCTGGTGATGTTGAGGCATGACTCCTGAGGGTCTTTGTCATTTGGCTCCTTAGATATGTTCTGTAAGGAGACCTCCAGGAGAGGCGTGCATGGTGGATAAGACACAGCCGCTTCCCAGCATTGAAACCCAAGCTCTACCTCCTCCTGCCTGTGAGACAGCAGGCTCCTTAGGTAGCCTCTTCGTGCCTTACTTGCCATCTCCCTCTGGGGTTGGTATTCTAAAAGGCATGTAGTTCTTCTCTAGTTTCTTTCTCATTTATTTACTCATTGCTAACAGCAACAATGCTGTGGTGTCTGTCTCTGTGGCCTGATCATGTCTGTCCCTAGAATAAATCACTAAATGAAACGATTACATGGGGCAGCATGTTCTAGGAGATTTTTGGGGTCAGTGTGGTCATCTAGGAAAGGATCTGGCACAAATTCTGCCATCACTGGCAGGGGATCTGGCCACTCTGTGATCCAGCCATGAAGGACTGAGATTTGTTTGTGAGTGTATGTGCTTTGTAAAAGGGTCCTATTATTTGCCAACATCAGATGCCTTATAAACATAAGAAGAGATGAAATTAACACAAATTACTCTTGTTTACTTAGGAGAAGGCAAAAATAAAAATTCTAATAGTCAGCAATGTAGGATGTAGCAAAGTAGGATGTGGGCAAACACAACCTTGTACACTAGGGCTGAGAGTAGAAATTGATAGAACAGCTCTAGAGGTCAGTTTAGCAGTGAAATAGGGACATCCCTTTAGAACCAGCAACTCAATGGCCATTAGGTGCATTCAAGCCCGCTCCTACTCACAGTGACCCTATGAACAACAGACCTGAACCTTGCCCTGTCTTGCACCATGCTTAAGGTCATTGTTGTATTCTGTATGTCAGTCTCATTTGAAGGTCGTCTTCTTTCTCTGACCCTCTCTACCTTTCTTAGTATGATGTCCCTTTCCAAAGACTGGACCCTCCCAATAACTCGTCCCCAGTCTGTGAGATGAAGTTTCACCATCCTTGTCTCTAAGGAGCACCCTGGCTGTACTTCCTCCATTACAGATCTGTCCAAAGTATAGTCAGTGCTCTTCACCAACACCATAACACAAAGGCATCGATTATTCCGTGGACTTTCTCATTCACCGCCCAACTTTCAGATACATATGAAGAAACTGAAAATACCATGTATTGGGTCAGTGTACCTTAGTCTTTAAACTGACTTCCTTCTTTTTAGCACTTTAAAGATTTCTTTGATAGGGGATTTGCCCAGTGGACCATATTTTTTTTATTTTTTGACTGCTGATACTATTCTACTCCTAGAAAATTCTATCCTTCTAAATTCTACTACTATAAAGAATACCATTGTAGATAATAATAATAATAATAATAGTGATGAGTAGACATTGACTGAATACTTACCATGTACCCAGCCTGTTCTAAATCCCCAATGATAGGAAATCCTAAGGAACATGGGCACACATACACACATGAGCTGGCAGGGTATCCCACAAGAGCCTGGAAATAGCAGGTAGCTGTTTTGGGGAAAGGAGACTTCATTTTTATTCTTCATTCCTTAGTACTTGCTGATTTTTGTTGTTTCTCATATTCTGTCCAATGTGGAGATTAGCCCAAGTAGAGTGTGTGTGTGTGTGTGTGTGTGTGTGTGTGTGTGTGTGTGTGTGTACATGATCTTTTTTAAAGTAAATACTATGTGATTATTTATGTTATATACTCCTTTTCAAACAAACAAAATAACTAAAAAGAAAGAAAATTCTCAGCAGATTCCCCACTTTGCTAAAATTGGGGATGTGTTTGAGAGAGGCAGCCCTCCCCTTTGGCACTGTCCCTTCTGTAAGGGTCAGATCCACTTTTGAGTGGGCTGTGGTCCTGGGCCCTATGCCTGACCCCCTGATGACTCCTTCCCTAGGCATCATGTGCATGGACCACCTGGATGATATGCTGAACCTGGTGAACTGCAGCCCCCTGATGATGAAGGATGACAAATGGGTGGTACAGAAGTATATTGAGCGCCCCCTGCTCATCTTTGGCACCAAGTTTGACTTGAGACAGTGGTTCCTGGTGACTGACTGGAACCCACTTACTGTTTGGTTCTACCGTGATAGCTATATCCGATTTTCTACACAGCCCTTCTCCCTGAAGAATTTGGACAAGTGAGCTGCACTTCTCACCTCCCATGCATTTGCAGTCTGTGTAGGGAGATGGCAGCAAAAGCAGGCAGTTAGAGTGCCTGGGCCCCAGGTCAGACTCTGCAGGCCAGCCAATCAAATAGCTCTCAAGGCATCTGTCAAATAAAGTGTGTTCTCTATTCATTTTGTTGTTGTGATTAGGTGCCAACATGTCAATTACTGCCCTTAGGTGACCCTTTGAACAAAAATCTGAATCTTGTTCTGTCCTGCACCATCCTCACCATATCTGATACGCATGCGCCCCTTTTTACAGTCACTGTAAACTCATCGTGCTGAGCATCTTCCTCTCTTTCGCTGACCTCCCACGTCTCCCAGCATGATCTCTTTTTCTTTTTCTCCACTCTTCTAGGCACTTAGAACACAAAACAGCAATGTGTAGATTTGGCTACTCTGTATGTAGTTCCCAATTGCAGGGCCAGACACTAGCCTAGTTATTCTTATGGAGTATTTCCATATGACCAAATCAGGTGGCCTTAAGCAAAACAGATTAACTTTCCTAATACAATCTGATATGATATGTAATGAAACAGTCACTTGAAAGGGGAGTTTTTCCTTGTTCGTTTGCCTTTCCCCTATATATTTTGGCAGAACTCACTCTGTCACTTACACGTGGAAAGAATGCTTTCAAGCAAGCATCACCAGACACAGGAGATTCACAGAAGCCATTGACATAAGACCTCCAGGAAAATTATGTAATATGTTAAAAGGCCATCTATGGTAAGAAGGAAAAGAAGTAGAGCCAGGTAAAAGAAAAACACCCCAGGAGAAAGAAATTAAATTGGGGGAGGGATAGGATAACAGGATACCTTACTGAAGCCTAGGGGCAAATTCCATCTCTGTGACTTCTAAGCTGTGCGACTTTGTCTAGGTGAAAGCCTATTTAAGCTTCAGCTGTCACTGCTGAAAAAAGGAAGCAGTAATAGGAAACTCCTAAGCTATCTATTATCTGTGACAGATGCTAAGCACAACTGTGTATCTTATCAACCATTCTTCGCACAAATCCAGTGAAATGGGTACTATCATTACGTGCATTTTACAGATGAGAATGAGCACTCAGAGGTTACATGGCTTGCCTAAGATCAAGTGGTAGAGATGGTACTCGGACACTGAATCACATCAGTTGATGCCTAGTAACAGTATAGGACTGGGCAAAATGGCCCCATGTGGCTTCCAAAGCTGTCAGTTATTATGGAAGCACACTGCCATACTTTCTCCTGTGGAGGTGAACCACTGACCTCTGGGTAAGCAGTGAAGTGCTTTAACTACGGTGCTACCAGAGACCTTTCTTTGTGGCTACAGGATGCATACAGTTAATTCTTGTCTTTGTGATAAATAAACCACAAGTGGGAGATTCCAAAAACAAACTACCTGTGGCTTGGTTTTGGAAGCTAGGAGACAATAAAAGCATTGGTCTGCTCTTGCTATGAGCCCTAAGTGATTCTTGGCATCTGTCTTTCCCTGTGCATTTCTCTCTGTTTTTGCATTTTATTACTCTGCTCTCTGTGGGGGGAAAAATGGCAATCTCCTAAAATTTACTGCCTCTTAAAACTCACTGCAGTGTCAGCTATGGGTCAGTCCCTACTTGAGGGCACACAAGAGCAACAACTACTCTAATATGAGCTCATAAAAAAGAAAAGAAAATCCCTATTTCTAAGCAAGATCATATGCATAGGTGCAGCAGTGATTATGTCAGGACATATTTCAGGGGAGTGCAGTTAGTCCACAGCACTCGTTTTATCGTTTTGAGCACTGAGAAGGCTAACTGAGGTCACACCCAAAGTACTTGGCTGCAGTCTCTGTAGCTGGCTGGTTACAGCCCTGTAAGGATGAGGCCCCATCCTAGAGCCTGTTTTTGGGTCACTTCACCCCACTTTGTACTAGGGTTCCATCTCAAGCTACACGGTCAAGGGCTGACCTCGACTTCCTCGGGTTTGGGTGGGAGAGGTGCCAGAGACCAGGCCTTCAGCTTTCTATTCTCTGCCCCAGCTCAGTGCACCTGTGCAACAATTCCATCCAGAAGCACCTGGAGAACTCATGCCTTCGGCACCCGCAGCTTCCCCCAGAAAACACATGGTCCAGCCAGAGATTCCAGGCCCACCTGCAGGAGCTGGGAGCCCCAGAAGCCTGGTCCACCATCATTGTCCCCGGCATGAAGGCTGCTGTGATCCACGTGCTGCAGACTTCTCAGGACACGGTGCAGTATCGGAAGGCCAGCTTTGAACTCTATGGTGCGGACTTTGTGTTTGGACAGGACTTCCAGCCCTGGCTGATTGAGATCAATGCCAGCCCCACCATGGCACCCTCCACCACAGTCACAGCCCAGCTTTGTGCTTGTGTGCAGGCCGACACCCTCCGGGTGGTCATCGACTGGCGGCAGGACCGCAGCTCTGACACAGGAGGCTTTGAGCTCATCTACAAGCAGGTGAGATGGCAGTGCCCAGAGACAGTGCTGTGCTTCCACCCCCAGAAACTGCACTTCTTCAGGGCAGCCCTGTATGAAGTCCAGGGCCTGGCAGTCAGCCAGCTTGCCCTGCCACACTGGCCGGTACAGCCATTTCACTTCCCACAGCCTTCATTTCCTCAGTTATAAATTGGAAGGATGAAATAAGTTTGCTGTGCAGATGGCATTTTTAGGGAAGCAGTATAACCCATTGCTTTTTAGGTCATGACTTTGTAAGGCATCCTGGCTCCTGGCATCCCCATGTCTGTCGAAGTAGAATATGTAGGTCTCCCATGCCTTATTTTCCCAAACTAGAGTGCCAGACCTTTCATCTGAGACACCTGAGTGTACTTGAACTGCCAGTCCTACAGTTAGCAAATGAGTACATTAACCATTTGTACCACACAGACTTCAGAGATACAGGTGTTCTGTGTTAAAAGCATGCATTTCCCCCCCCCCCCCCCCAATTCTCCCTGGTTAACAATCCCTGTTCAGTAACTGCAAGTGTGTGAATTACTTTAGGGTGGTTTCAAGGAGCTCTGGGGCATAGTCTATAGCGTGTTGCAGTGCTAACCAATAGGGTGCCTCTGTGGTTGTTTAAGTCTACCAGCTGCTGTATGAGATACATGGGCAGTCTCTCCTCAGTCACCTGATGGAGGATCACTGTGAGTCAGAATCAGCTCGATGGCAATGAGTTTGATGGGGGTTTCCGTTTTCTCATTTTTAAAGTGAAAATAAAAGGGGAACTCTCTCCACAGGAGAAGGATTGGTGATCTCCTCCAGTGCAATTTCCTGCATCTGAAAACCAACTGGAGGGTCAACTATGGGTTGGTGCCAATTCAACGGTACATATCAACCTCATAAAGTTGTGAAAGTTAAATGAGTTTACATAAGTCAAGCACTTTGGGACAGTGCATGGGGTATAGTAAATCTTATACAAAGTTTAGGAAGTGGCTTAGTGGTAAGGAGCTGTGCTGTCAACCCAAAAACATGCAGTTCAAATCCACCAGTTTCTCTGTGGGAGAAAGATGGGCAATCTCCTCCCGTGCAACTTAACTGTCTCTGATAACCTGGAGGGTCAGCTGAGAGCCAGTTCCAAACTGATGGTATACAACAACATACAAAGTTACCTATTATTATTACCCAATAAGATTGTTGGAAGTTTTATGGTAAATAGCATCTAGTGTAAATTGCCCAGGATATAAATGCAAAGAAGAATCAATTACAGATGTTATTAGGTGCCCTTGAGTTGAGTATGACTCATAATTTTACTAACTTTGTAATTATTCCATTAAAAGATGAGTCCAGTTATGAAATAGAATAAGGTTTTTGTGGGGTTTTTTTGCATATTTTTATTTTATACTAGTTTGCATAGGAAATTATATACATTGTGTTTCTCACTCTATATATGAGTGTTTCACACATTCCTCTATTCACATTGTGTTTCATAGTATCATTCCCATACATTGTTGTTGTTGTTGTTATGTGCCGTCGAGTCACCTGCGACTCATAGCGACCCTATGTACAACAGCCCTAAACTCCGCTATGTCCTGTGCCAATCGCACTGTCTCTGACACTCCCATCCCAATTATCCCAGTCACTGAATCAATCCACCTCATAGAGGGCTTTCCTCTCCTGTGCCGTCCCTCCACCCTCCCAAGCATGATGTCCCTCTCCAAGGACCGGTCTCTCCTCACTACATGTCCGAAGTAAGTTAGACGGAGCCTCAGAATCCTTGCCTCCAAGGAGCCACCCGGTTTAACCCTCTCCAGGACAAATCTATTTGTTTTCCTAGCAGTCCATGGTATTCTCAATACTCTTCTCCAGCACCACAGCTCAAAGGCATCAGTTCTCCTTCTATCCTCCTTGGTCATTGTCCAACTCTCTGATGCATAACAAGATTATGTTTTATAAAATCAATCACTATTGATCCATGCCCACCATTACCACACCTTTTCAGGTCCCCACTGGATCTTCCCCAATATACTCAAACTCTCAGTCTGCCTACATAACTCTGTGCCCTCAAGATTCCCCCCCAAGGCCTCCTCCACCTTCCCCTTTCTCCTTTAGACTTTTATATACATCTTACTAGTAATCCTTCTAATTTTACAGAATGGTCTTATGCAGTATTTGTCCTTATGACACTGAGTTAGTTCACTCAGCTTAAAGCTCTCCAAATTCTATGTTATATAGTATTTTTTTCAAAACAAATGCATCTTAGTGCTGCATAGTATTCCGTTGTGCAAATGTACCACAATTTCTCAATCCATTCGTTTGTTGATAGACATTTTGACTGTTTCTGTTTTCTTTCTACGATGAAGAATGCTGCTATGAACATTGGTATACATAGAATAAGATTGTTTACAGATATGGGCCGGGGGGAGAAACCCAAAACACAAACCCCAACCAATCATCAGTTTTATATGGAAAGGCAGGAAGTTGTGAATAACTAATGCTGACAGAGAACAGACTCATACTTCCTGACTTCCTATACAGCCACAGTAATAAAAAGAGCCTGTTATGGTTTAGATGCATAGATCAATGGAGAGTCTAGAAATAAACCCACACATCTGCGATCAACTGACCAATATGAGTGCTATGTCTACTTGAAATGGAGAGCAGAGTCTCTTCAGTAATTGATGATGGGCATCATGACACTGAACACAGAACAAACTCAGAATGGATTCAGGATTTGCATGTACAAGCTAAAGGGGGGGGGAATGCTTAGAAGAGCAAGGAGGTCAGTCCCATCTTTCAGCAATGGATTATGTAGAATAAATAGTAAGAAAAGCACAAAAAAGCAAAAGAAAAATCAGTAGGACCTCATAAAAATGTAAAACTGTAACTCATCAAAAGAGTTGACAAAAATAATAAGACAAGCTGCAGACTAGGAGACTATCTTCAGAAACCATATACCCAGCAGTTGAAATATGCACAAAAGTTCAACGGCAAAAAGATACATGACTCAATAATAAAATAAACGAAACAGTAGAAAAGAGGACTTTAATCAGAACACAATGGAAATTTCTGGTTTTTTCTTATTACTATCGAGTGAGAACTCACTCATAGCTGACCCTCCAGCGAGATCTCCAAGACTAAGTTTCACAGGAGGGGATTGATTGCCCATTTTTCTTCTGAGGAGTGGATTCAAACCCCCGAGTGATGTGGCCTTTTGACCAGTAGTGCAGCTCTCTAAGCACTGGGCCACCAGAGCTCCTAGGACCACCATGTTGTGGTCTTTATGTGCTGTAAAGTTGGAACTGACGGACAGCTGCTCCTTCAGCAGGTTTTCAGAGGCAGTAAGTCACTTGGGAGAAAATTGCCCATCTTTCCCCCTCACAGCAGCTGGTAGATTGGAACCCTGTACCTTTGAGTTGGCAGTGCAACTCCTTACCATTAAGCCATCAGAGCTCCCTACAAAGGGCACAGGAGGAGGGGGAAATGGGAGGCGAACAGGGATAAAGAAAATCACATTAACATAGAGTTGTTGTTGTTAAATGCCATCGAGTCACAGGCGACTCACAGTGACCCTATGAAGAATCCTCGACGCTTGGGTGTCTCTCATCCTCTCTCCAGGTTCATGGGGTTTCCGGAGGCAAGCTGTTAAAAATATGGAACGCTTCATGAATTTGCGTGTCATCCTTGCACAGGGGCCATGCTAATCTTCTCTGTATCGTTCCAATTTTAGTATATGTGCTGCCGAAGAGAGCACGGCAAGCTGTTACGGAAGCGGATGCCACTCCTCCTTCCAATAAGCCTAGAGTAGCACAGCCAATTATTCTAACTACGGTCAGCAAGTTGTAAAAAAGGGAATTAGCAAAAAAGTATATGATAGATACATTTAGAGCAATGGTAGGCAGCAGGCGAGGAGTGGAGAGAGTAGCTGCCAAAATGATATGTCCAACCTCAGACATCTCCTGAGATTGGCTTCACTAGTTGGGAGGTTCAAGGTCATGGTTTTATAGCATATCCCAATTTATTGGTTTAATAATGTGTAGTGCTCTTGTTCTACTTCTTAATCCTCGTGTAATGCTTGGGATCTTAAAAGATGGCAAGTAGCCTTCCACAGTGCACACACAGCTTGTCTCTTTTCACCTGGAGCTACAGAGGGAGGAGAGTCAGGGATAGGAGGGCAAGTGGAGTGTGTGACTCAGTATCTCCATGAACAGCAGTCTCCTTGACAGGAGACCAGAAGAGCTGGTACCCAGCTATCAGTACTGATTTCTCTTTACAAAAAAATTTCATATTGGTTTACATACAAAATTCATATGCATGTGTTTCATTCACGTATATTGCATTTCACACATTCCTGCAGTCAAGGTATGTTTCATACACTGCATTTTATTCCCATACACTGCATTTTATAAAATTAATCACTACTGATCTATGCCCACCATCACCCCATATTTTCAGGTCCCCACTAGATCTAATTCCTTCAGGCCCTCCCTCTGCCCACCAAACTCTGCGTCGCCGACCCGGCTCCTTTCCCCTTTGGACTTTCATCCACATCTTACCTTCTATTTTTACAATTATGTTCTTGTGCATTATTTGGCCTTATGAGACAGAGTTCACCCTGCATCATGCTCTCTAGATTCTCCCATATTGTATAAGTATTTTATGAAATCATTGCTCCTTAGTGCTACATTGTCTTCCATTGTGTGAATGTACTAAAATTCCTCAATCCACTTGTTTCCATGTAGTACTGAATGTTTGATTAAAGGCTCCATAAAATAATTTTTATCAAAAGGAGAAAAGTTCACAACAATTTTAAACTCTGGTACACTCTGGACTTTCTGAAGCCATGGAAGGTGAATTAACCCCTAAAACTATTGTCCTGAGGCAATCTTGAAAGCTTAAACCAAAAACATATCCTGAAGCCTTCTTAAAATTAGATAATTTTGATTGTTGTTGTTATGTGCCATCTAGTTGCTTGCGACTCATAGCGATCCTATGTACAACAGCCCTAAACCCTGCTCTATCCT